AAATATCTAGACCTGAAAGTTTTATATATCTTCAGATCAATCACTTTTGTTTCCAAACACCTAGCGCATTATCCAAACTTAATTTAAAAAGACAAAAAACCTACTCGCAAAATATGTACATGAAAAAGCCTAAAAAGCCACAGTGATGATTGTGGCAGAACCATTCCGCCTAGGCTTCCTCGTGCAAAGCGATGTGTCTTAGCCAATGGTCCCATTGTCCTGCTAGACTTCCAGTGTTCTGTCAAGGCATGTATTAGAGCTCAAAACCAATCCTTTCCCGCTATCCCAAACCACGAGTCAGAACTTCGTGTAGGGTGAAATTAATCAATCTTTATTGAACAGAGTTCAGTATATACAGCTTCACCCCCACCAGACAGCCTGGCACCGGGTTTTCCCCACCCACAACAAAACCCTACAACACAACAATACAGTATTAACTGTCAGGGCAGGAGCTGTGGAACGGACAGGCAGGCCTAATGGCAGGGTCACGCACCGACTGACGACAACCACCACCCACAGACCGGAGTCCCTCAGGGCGCGGAGTCTAAATCCCAGGCTGCCCTTCACCAGGGCCCCTGATGGTGGGGATGGACTTGATGCAGCCAGGGACCAGGTCACGGCCCCCGAGACACCCCAACTGTGGTAATGGTCACCGCCAATGGCATGTAGCTGGTAGGAACCAGATAAGACAATAGCGTAGTCGGGCACGCCGGGTCGATAATAACGAGACAAACGGAACAGAACGGTAGACAAGAATAACAGGTCACAGGCCAGGTTCAGCAACAGGAGGTCAGATAAATGGAAAACACAGAGAATAGTCTAGTCAAAAGCTGAGTCAGTTTCCAGGAGAGCCACGAGAGTATAAAACAGAGCTTGTTGCAACACCAACACACAAGACACGAATACAAAGAGCACGTGCGGACAACAGGCTTATATGTGATCAACCACACCCCTCTGGGGGATGGACCGCAGAGGACTGAAGGCATAAAAGACTCCCACCATGCTCTGCAGAAACCCAAGATGGATGCCAGCACATGGAGCAGCATAACCTCTGGGAAAAGGTAGGACCTTGACAATGAACTCTATAGAAGTGAAAGACTACAAGGTCACATTTCCCTAAACAAACAGTGTAGAATGCCTGTCTACATAACAGCTGCTAAACATATACAGCTTTACCAAGGGGAGAATGGGAAGACCACTTAACAAGGGGAGAAAACCAGAACAAAAAGGGCAAAATGTTATCACAAAGGGACAGTTCGTCACAATGGCCCAAACTGATGTCAGAGTGAAATTGGTGGTGCGGTCAGCCTACTGATGCATTTCGGGGACGTGTCCCTTTCCTCAGAGCTGAAGAGTTGATGCCCTAATATATATATGTGCGACCAGTGCTGCCTACAGCAAAGACCACTCCCCTCAGGTACCTGGTCCCTGCCCGGATTGCTACATTCATTCCGTCCTAATCCCTGACTTGTTTTCGTGGCTGCTCTGAAGCAGTTACCCACCACATACCCACCTTCACATGTGGTGGACCTGCCCGGTTGTTCAAACGTATTGGTGCAAAATATTCCATGTGCCTACAGTTCTTTATGAAGAAGTTACAGTATATATATCCATCCGGCCACTGCCTCATTTAATAACAAACCCCAAGAAGTATACCTTATGGTGTGTCTCCAAGCTATGGATGGAAGGAAAGGGATCACCCCACCGGCAAGTGAGAAGAAGGGAGCATGAGTCAGAGCGATTCCAGTGTCAGCCAATACAAGTAAAGGGATGGATGCAGTGTGACCAAGCCCTAGTTGGCGGGGTGAAATGCATCAGAGGGTGTGGCTAGAATGGCAGCTGAGGCCATTCCTCAACACTGGACTGGGGTCAGGTTGACCAGCATCCATTCCTTTACTTGCATAAGGCCCAAGAAGTGACACACTGGCAATTCAAACTACTCCTGTAGGTCACCACCACGGCTTAGCAAACCATAGCGAAGGCCTGGAAATCCCCCCCTCAATACCACTGAAACTAAGAATAGTGTCACTCGAGCCACGATAAATGTCAAAGTAGAAGCCGTCCTATTAGACAGAGTGCATAAAAATGAACAACTATGGCAACCATGGGTTGACCATTTCCTACCCTCAAACTCTGATGAAACCTTACTCTCTTTGTAGTCCTGAGTCCATTAGGTAACCCACTACTCAGTTGCTACTCTATACAGGCACACACCCTCCCCCCTGGGGACCTCCTCTCCTCCCCCCTTATCTGTACCCCTTTCTTCACTACTCTTGCTCTTATCTCTCCATTGCTCTCTTCCTTTTCACCTTTCCTCTCATTAGCTCTTTATCCCTTATGGGGTTTTCCCAATTGGGGGAACCTACACTATCAGTTTGAATTTTCAGTGACGCAGACAGGTCACCCACTCGTCTGCCACTGATATCTGCATACAGGTTGAAGTACTAAATCTATACTCCCACTGTGAGAGTACCAGAAATGATATTATAGAGTATATAACGTGCCAGTCTCTACATTCACTCCCCCTTGATACTATAGCACTGTTATCTCTTGCTTAAGTTAAAGCAGAGCTCCACCCAAAAGGGGAAGTCCTGCTTTAAGGACCCCACTCCCCAATAAGAACTGGCACCTTTTGAGGGGGTCCTGAAGTTGAGTACCTGAAATTGAAACTGCAAGTGTTGTGGACTCACTTCCACTTCTGCTGCCAGTCACATAGGTGATCAGAAACAGAAGTTGTCCTCCCCCTCCCTCCCTGTAGTCTTCTGGGACACATGACAGGTCCTAGAAGACTACAGGACCATTCACAAGCACAGAGATACACAGAGATACTCGCTCATGAAGCCGCAAGCTGTCACAGCTGGGTGCCCACACTGAAGATGCTGGCGCTGAGAACACAGGGCGGCCGGTAAAACAGGCTGCGGGGAGGACACCACGAGATCGAGGGACAGGTAAGTGTCTGTCTTTTAAAAGTCAGCAGCTACAGTTTTTTGCAGCTGCTGACTTTTATTTTTTTTTTTTTTTTTTTTTCACTGGAACTCTCACTTTAATGTATGAAGATATTGTTTTTACTGTACAAATTACAACCTGTACGTTACCTCTAAGGGTTGTACCCCTTCTGACTTACTGTTGGTGAGTCCTGCAATCACATTGTTATGAGCTCCTTGTAAAACTATTATCTCTTTCCAATAAAATCTATGAACAAGAGAAGATATGGACCCCACAATTCCTCTATATACTCCACAATTCTCCCATGTGGACACCTCGTAAGTGGTTCTCCAGTATAGACTCCCAGTTTGGGGAACTCATTTAGAAGAAGAAGCCATCAGCAGCTAGAATCAAACTCACTACTCTACAGTATGGTGAAGACCAAGGAGGCCTAGCAATACCAAATGTTAGACTTTATTTATAGCTGCCCAACTTCAACATCTTACCAGGTGGGACTTAGTAGACACATTAGATCCCATCCATCGGTTGCTACTTCCATCAGATACAGATTTCACATCACTCTCACACTTGTTAATGGGCTTCAGATGGCACCAGTGGGAAAGGCATGATCTCTCATATATTTATTCCAGTCTTTTGACTCTTGCCGAAAGACTTATAGAAAGAAATGGGAAACAGACAGAAAAAGAAAAATAAGAGAGTGGTGGGAGGTGATTTTGACCTCCATACCTCTCATCTCTCTGTCCTCTTCACAGAAACTCAGTCATTTCTTTTGCATAGAGCTTTCAGGACTCCAGCTCAATTGTTCAGCTAGGACAGGAGGGATTTCCCCTTTGACCCCAATTGTAGCGGTGATGTCGGGGATTTGATACACATGTTTTGGAGATGTCCAAAATTATTCAAAAAGTGGAACGATGATATGACCAGTATTATAATGTTGGTATTCAATATTCCTCGGGTGTGCCTCTTGGTGTCAATAGAGGAGGAATTATTTACACCTCCTCCTATTACAAGTCATATAGCAATAGTGAGGCTGCTTGACCATAAAAAATATCCCGATCTTGGCTATCATCTCAAACTCCCAGCAGACAACAGTGGATTGAGCAGGTGATCTCCACATTAACATGTGAAAAAACAACTTACCAACATTGTAATTCCCCCAGGAGATGTATGTCTCTCTGGCAGAACTGGCTGGATACTCCTTGCTCACTCCTAGTTAGTTCTTCATAGGCTTTTAAAATCTTAGCTCTTTTTAGCCCCATAGAAGGAGAACGGCCAGTTGTATCCTACTGAATGGTGACTACATTGGAGACCCATACTTGGGGTATGATCCTGTAGACACAGGCCTCATTGATCGGTGTCAGCTATCTATGTATGTACTGGGGGGAGTTACTTGCCGTGTACAGCTGAATTGTTCTAGGCTGTTTCTTCTTTTCTCTGTTCATTTGTTTATAAAAGGTAAAAGTGACACCATAGACAAAGCAAGTTATTGTTCTGTATGATCTGTAACAGTGCCACAACTGCCTATACGTGAGAATGTATGACTCCATTGTCTGGGCTGAATGTTGGGAATACTGTGCGCACTTATAAACTTTCTTAATAAAATCTATTTGATTAAAAAAAAAACTGTAGATAATGCTGTACATATTCTTTCTATTCATAAGATATATTTAGTAATGAACATTAAAAAAAATAGAAAGCAACTTTATGTAGCCCTTTATATAGAATTCTATTTTTTTTTTTTTTTTCTACAGGTGGATTGATGAACCAAGTTTTCGGTCATTTTGGTCTTCATGAATACAGCTGAGTCACATGGAAAACAAAACATATGGGTGTCTTAATTGACTGAAAGTCTTTATTGCAGTTCACTGGAGGATTCACACGGGATACAAGTCATATCTGTGTTCTAAAAGTCATGGTTTGGATCCTCTTCCACATTGATCCAGCAGGAGAAAAGTAATTTCAGTGTTCTGGAAGTGACAATGGCTTTACAATAAAGTCCAACCCAAGTATACATAAGAGGAGTCATTTCAAACTACTTGTTTGGAGATTTTACAATGGAGAGAAAATATATCACACACCAGAAGGTTCACAATGGAGAGAAGTCATATCATTGTTCTGAATGTGACAAAACTTTTACATGCAAGAAAGACCTTATAGTACACCAAAGAGTTCACACTGGAGAGAAGCCATATCAGTGTTCTGAATGTGATAAAGCTTTTACACAGAAGTCACAAAAGTCAATCTTAAAACACACACCAGAGGATTCACACTGGAGAGAAGCCATATCAGTGTTCTGAATGTGATAAAGCTTTTACTGTGTGAAGTCACATCTTATCACACACCAGAGGATTCACACTGGAGAGAAGCCATATCAGTGTTCTGAATGTGATAAAGCTTTACAGAGAAGTCACATCTTATCAGACACCAGATTGTTCACACTGGAGAGAAACCATATCAGTGTTCTGAATGTGATAAAGCTTTTACACAGAAGTCAAGTCTTATCACACACCAGAGGATTCACACTGGAGAGAAGCCATATCAGTGTTCTGAATGTGATAAAGCTTTTAAAACAGAGTCAGCTTATAATACACCACCAGAGGATTCACACTGGAGAGAAGCCATATCAGTGTTCTGAATGTGATAAAGCTTTTACAAAGAAGTCACATCTTATCAGACACCAGAGATTCACACTGGAGAGAAGCCATATCAGTGTTCTGAATGTGATAAAGCTTTTACAAGGAAGTCACATCTTATCACACACCAGATGATTCACACTGGAGAGAAGCCATATCAGTGTTCTGAATGTGATAAAACTTTTACAACCAAGTCAAGCTTATAATGCACCAGATGATTCACACTGGAGAGAAGTCATGTCAGTGTTCTGAATGTGATAAACGCTTTTAAAGAAGTCACATCTTATCACACACCAGAGGATTCACACTGGAGAGAAGCCATATCAGTGTTCTGAATGTGATAAAGCTTTTACAAGGAAGTCACATCTTATCAGACACCAGATGATTCACACTGGAGAGAAACCATATCAGTGTTCTGAATGTGATAAAGCTTTTACACATAAGTCAAATCTTATCAGACACCAGAGGATTCACACTGGAGAGAAGCCATTTTAATGCTCTCAATGTGACAAAACTTTTACAGTTAATGCCGGTCTAATCTATCACCGGAGGATTCACAAATCTCAGCATAGATTATTTTCTGGAAGAAAAGAGATATTAAAGAAGTTTCAGGTGTCACAATTTAGTTTTTCACATCCCCAATGTCATCCCACAAGCTAGAGAAAAGAAGAAAAAATGTTACTTTAAAAGAAACAAACTAAAATCTGAGCAAACTAGAATGTAATGATTGGATGAACTGAGTTTAGTGCTTATGTCCATCAATACACAACTAGAAGGATTGAATATTTTTTATTTTTGACAATTTTTTTAAGATAAGCATCAATAACTGAACAGCTTCCCTCATGATTCTCATCTTTATCTTTTTTATGGAGCTTTGAATGAACATGCAATGCATTTTCATGATTCACCAACTGAGTTGTGTTTCCAAGCATTTTCTTCATTTCTGGATCCTGAGGTAAAACATGCCCAACACTGCCTCAGTACCAGAGACTAGGATGGGGTCTATTGTCATCTTACCAAGTCTCTGAAGCCTCAGTGGGAGAGTCCATTCCAGGTTCTTCTGACTATTGCGCGATCCGAGATGGCCGCTTAAGCTAGGAGCTCCCACCGGCCAGAGACATCCTGCTTCCTTGCATGGAGGATCGGGTGAGCACAGGGCAGACAAACATGGGTAAAGCGGACCGGAACACCTCTGGAGCCTGGTCCTGCTCCCCACGGGTCCCTAATCAGCAGTCAGCACGGCATATACAGGAGCTATTCCACTCCCAGCAGAGGGACAGACCACAGTTATCCCCCTCTCCCCCCCTGCAGCCATTCCACGGAGCACAGCATCAGACTCTGTCCCACAGCATGATCTCTCTGAATCTCATGCCTTATCGCTGAGAGACCTACATGCTGTGGCAGCTGACATTAAAATAACATTCACTACTGCCCTTACTGACCTACGTGATGACCTCCACTCCCTGGGCACCAGATTAGAAGGGGTGGAACTCTCTGCCAAACAAAACGCAGACGCAATAGTGGAACTACAGCAGATGATCGCCTCCCTCGCTTCAAGCATCCGTGAATTCTATAGACATATTGAGGATTTAGACAATCGTGGACGCAGGCATAACATCAGAATCCGTGGTGTACCAGAATCTGTAGAACCAAACGAAATTTCAAGAACAGTCATGGCGTTCTTTAATGACCTGCTGGGCCCGCCTGCCTGTGACGCCTATTGACATGGATCATGCACATAGATAACTCCAACCCAGGGGCAGAGATACCGACCCTCCCCCAAGAGACATAGTATGTTGTCCAGTTTTCCATTTAAAGATATCCACAGATGCGCCAGAGAAAGAAGACGCCTTTTGTATCGGGGGTCAGAAATACATCTGATCTCTCCACTCTGACCCTACAACAAAGAAGAGAACTCCGCCCCCTAATGGACTCACTCCGATCCCACAACATACCCTACAGGGGCGATTCCCCTTCTGCCTTTCCGCACGGGCGCACTGCTAATCTGCGGTTCCCAGAGGAATTGCTCAATTTCTGTGCTGCTCTGGAAATACCATTACTGGACCTTCCTGACTGGTACAGGAATATGCAGATCCCTTCTGCCGCAGAAACTGGAACCGGAAACCAGTGCAATGAAGTGGCAAGGCCACCTTTCTTGTCGACGCCGCTCTGCTCCCTCGACCCCTCCAAGACCTCACAAAAGGGGCTCTACTACCACATCCAGCCCAATGGCTTTTCCTGCACACAGAAGGTCTCGCTGTGATGCTTAGGAGTTCTGCACCTCCTCTCGCTCCTGCCCCTCTCATCCACAACACATTACCAACTTACTACCAGCTTCTGAACATCACACCTCACCTCCGAAGTTTATCGGGAAAACTCCTGTTCCTCTGATACTACCCTTAGGGGCCTCAGAATCCCCACCCTGAAAGCCCTCCCAAACCTGCTCCAGCTTGTACTTCCTGACACTCCGGCATACAATCATCTGTACACCTTTTTGGAGGCTCCCTGGATCTCACTCTGCAACCCCCCCCCTGCCTTCCAATTCCTCGCCCATCCGCCACGATCCGTCTCACTTGCCTCTCTTCTCTGCAAGCCTCCCTGTGGCACTGCCACTACTACCTTAGACTGCAACCACCTGACTTCCATCTGAGTCTCCATTTCCTCTAAGCTCCTTCCACGAGGCCCTTGTCAAGTCTACTTGGATTGGGACTCATGGATTTTTCCTTTGTGTTATTGCATTGTTGTTTTATACCTGTGAGCGAGTATCACCTCCATAGGCTCCCTGGATGGTAATCCCCTTTAAGAGTTTGGTAATCCCTTTACTACTTTTGCATCTCCATCCATCCCATGCTCACGTATAGTGCTAGGCCTATAATCTTCCTAAGCAGGCCCTTTGACACTGGCCGCTCCCTTCCATCCCTCTCCCCCTGCAGGTGCGTGCTTAGGCACTCTCTCCAGACCTATTTGAGGTGCTGCTCGACTCCCTTGATGCCTTCTGAGCCTATGCTGATACATTTCATGGTTTTCTTGCCTTTGTTTCCTCCCCTTCATGTAATGTGTAGTGCCTTGTATGCTGGCGGCCTAATTGGTCATTTTTCACATTCTGGTCGCCCTAAGTTATCGTTATTGTTATGTATCTAACCTCCAATGCCTTAGGTAGATGGTGGTACTGCTTGCCCTCCTCCTGGGGGGGGGGGGGGGGGGGGAGTGCCACCTGTAGCTCTACCTCAGAGCGTTTGATACCTGGTCTGCTATTTTGGTTTTCCTAGTTCACGTTTTAGCCTACAGTACACTCACCCTCGCGTATGTGATATCTACCTGCCCTAAACCGCTGTGTGTGATACCCAAACATCTATCCCTCTCACTGCTGTTATTCCTTATACATTTAGTTCCAAATCTTTCTTAAGACATCACAACTTACCCATTCTGTCGGGGAACGGCTGCTACACCACCTTATCTAACTTTGCATATAAGTTCTATACCGTCAGGTCCATAAATATTGGGACATCGACAAAATTCTAACATTTTTGGCTCTTTACACCACCACAATGGATTTGAAATTAAACAAACAAGATGTGCTTTAACTGCAGACTGTCAGCTTTAATTTGAGGGTATTTACACCCAAATCAGGTGAACGGTGTAGGAATTACAACAGTTTGCATATGTGCTTCCCACTTGTTAAGGGACCAAAAGTAATGGGACAATTGGCTTCTCAGCTGTTCCATGGCCAGGTGTGTGTTTTTCCCTCATTATCCCAATTACAATGAGCAGATAAAAGGTCCAGAATTCATTTCAAGTGTGCTATTTGCATTTGGAATCTGTTGCTGTCAACTCTCAAGATGAGATCCAAAGAGCTGTCACTATCAGTGAAGCAAGCCATCATTAGGCTGAAAAAACAAAACAAACCCGTCAGAGAGGTAGCAAAAATATTAGGCGTGGCCAAAACAACTGTTTGGAACATTCTTAAAAAGAAGGAACGCACCGGTGAGCTCAGCAACACCAAAAGACCCGGAAGATCACGGAAAACAACTGTGGTGGATGACCGAAGATTTCTTTCCCTGGTGAAGAAAAAACCCCTTCACAACAGTTGGCCAGATCAAGAACACTCTCTGGGAGGTAGGTGTATGTGTGTCAAAGTCACCAATCAAGAGAAGACTTCACCAGAGCGAATACAGAGGGTTCACCACAAGATGGAAACAATTGGTGAGCCTCAAAAACAGGAAGGCCAGATTAGAGTTTGCCAAACGACATGTAAAAAAGCCTTCACAGTTCTGGAACAACATCCTATGGACAGATGAGACCAACATCAACTTGTACCAGAGTGATGGGAAGAGAAGAGTATGGAGAAGGAAAGGAACTGCTCATGGTCCTAAGCATACCACCTCATCAGTGAAGCATGGTGGTGGTAGTGTCATGGCGTGGGCATGTATGGCTGCCAATAGAACTGTTTCTCTTGTATTTATTGATGATGTGACTGCTGACAGAAGCAGCCGGATGAATTGTGAAGTGTTTCGGGAATATTATCTGCTCATATTCAGCCAAATGCTTCACAACTCATTGGATGCCGCTTCACAGTGCAGATGGACAATGACCCAAAGCAGACTGCAAAAGCAACCAAAGAGTGTTTTAAGGGAAAGAAGTGGAATGTTATGCAATGGCCAAGTCAATCACCTGACCTGAATCCGATTGAGCATGCATTTCACTTGCTGAAGACAAAACTGAAGGGAAAATGCCCCAAGAACAAGCAGGAACTGAAGACAGTTGCAGTAGAGGCCTGGCAGAGCATCACCAGGGATGAAACCCAGTGTCTGGTGATGTCTATGCGCTCCAGACTTCAGGCTGTAATTGACTGCAAAGGATTTGCAACCAAGTATTAAAAAGTGAAAGTTTGATTTATGATTATTATTCTGTCCCATTACTTTTGGTCCCTTAACAAGTGGGAGGCACATATGCAAACTGTTGTAATTCCTACACTGTTCACCTGATTTGGATGTAAATACCCTCAAATTAAAGCTGACAGTCTGCAGTTAAAGCACATCTTGTTCGTTTCATTTCAAATCCATTATGGTGGAGTATAGAGCCAAATATGTTAGAATTGTGTCGATGTCCCAATATTTATGGACTTGACTGCCCTGCCCTCTCCCTTCCTCTACAGTCCCCACATCTTATTTTTCTCAGGATCCACCAGGCGGCAGGCTCCCCCATTTTGGTTCTACACTCACCTCGTTTCCCACACAGTGGGCTCAGTGAGCTCTTACTGACTTCAGCCGGCTACTTCCTTTTTCTCCTCCTTCTCCTTCCCTCCTCACTTTCTCTCCCTCTACCCCTTTTTTTTCTTGTCCCCTCTCTCACCCTTCTCTCCCATTCACAAGTGGACTAGCTGGTCTATTCCTCCCGCCGGTTAATACTTCCTTTTAATGACAACTTTCTTTTTCCTTTCTCTCTCTCTCCTCCTTCCCCCCCCTTCTTGTTTTTTTTTTTTCTTTTTCTCCCCT